GACAAGTGTTTTAAATATTCTATTGAGTGTGGATATTGCAAAATTTGTGATAAAGCACACCCTGAAAAGATGTTTCATTACAAGAAGATAGCAAGTGATTTGATTTTTGATGGTGTGAGTTTTCCTGCTAATAATAATGATATAGATATATTTGAAGAAAATAATAAATCAATATCCATTAATGTTTATGAAATTGATGATAATGAACAAATTGTTATTAGTAGAAAATTGAAAAATAAAGATGCTTCTTGTCATCTTGATTTGTTGAGAGTTGATGAGGAGGATTGCAGTCATTATGTGTATATAAAAAGTTTGAGCAGACTTATTAATAATCAAAAAAGTAATCATAATGGTAAGTCCTATTTTTGTAAATATTGTAATCATGGATTTAGAAATGAAGAATTATTAAATAAACATTATGATAGTGGATGCATGGAAGTTGAAGGACAACAAATAGTAATGCCTAAGCCTTATGAAAAAGTTAGTTTTAAGCATCACTTCAAAAAGTTAAGGTGTCCTTTTGTTGTATATGCTGATTTTGAATGTTTGACAGAGGAACTGAAAAAACCAGATGAAGATGAAGATAAAAACACTTTTTCTTATCAAGAGCATAAGCCATGTGGTTTTATGCTTAATATGGTTAATGCTGTTGATAATACAAATTATGAATTTATGTATCGCGGTAAAGATGCTGTTGATGTGTTTTGTCAAAAACTTAATGACATTAGGGCAGAAGTAAAGGAGAAGATGGGAGAAAACGAAAAAATAGATATGACTGATGAAGACAAAGAAGATTTTAAACATGCTAAAAACTGCTTTATTTGTGGGGATAAGTTTAGAATGAACTATAAAAATGCAAAGGAAGCAGAGAAATATAGAAAAGTTAGAGACCATTGTCATTTTACAGGTAAGTATAGAGGTTGTGCTCATAATGTTTGCAATCTTAATTTTTGTAATAGATATTTTAAAATTCCAGTATTCTTTCATAACATGAAAAATTATGATGGTCATTTAATTATTCAAAATGCGGATAAATTAAGTAACAACAATAAAATAGGTGTCATCGCTCAGAACAGTGAAAAATTTATTAATATCAGTTTTGAAAGTTTGAGTGTTAAAGACACTTTTGGGTTTTTAACTGCTTCATTAGATAAGTTAGTTTCAATGAGTAAGTATGATAATACAGATGAAGAAGATAAAAGTAAATGGTTATTGCGTGAAGACTGGAAAGATAATTTTAGGTTTAGTAGTAAAAATGATTTGATTAAGAGTGAGAAATGTCTAGATTTATTAACTGATAAAGGCGTTTATCCTTATGACTACATGAATTCATTTGATAAATTTGATGATGAGCAATTACCGAGTAAGGATGATTTTTATAGTCAGTTGAGTGAAGAAGGTATAAGTGTTAACGACTATGAAAGGGCAAAAATTATATGGAAGCATTTCGACATTAAGAATATGGGTGAATACCATGATTTATATTTGAAAACTGATGTATTATTATTGACTGACATTTTCGAAAATTTTAGAGATGTATGTATGAAATATTATGGATTGGACCCTGCTTATTATTATACATTGCCTAACTTTGCTTTTGATGCTATGCTTAAAATGACTGGTGTAGAGATTGATTTAATATATGACCAAGAAATGTATGAAATGATAGAAGCGGGACTTAGAGGCGGGATGTGTATGGTTTCTACTAAAAAAGTTGAAGCAAATAATAAATACATGGGAGAAGAATATGATAAAAATAAAGAAAGTAGTTATATTAACTATTTTGATGCTAATAATTTGTATGGGTTAAGCATGATACAAAAACTGCCATATAAAAATCTAAAATGGGATGATACATTAAAAGAAGAAGACATTATTAATTATAAGAATAATAATATTGGATATATTCTAGAAGTGGATTTAGAATATCCTAAAGAATTACACGATTTACACAATGACTATCCAATGGCACCTGAGGTTATGAATGTTAAAGCCGACATGCTGTCAGATAAACAAATTGAAATTTATGAATTTTTAAATCATAAAAAACCTACGGATGAGAAAACAAATAAATTAGTATTGAATTTAAATGATAAAGAAAAATATGTAATCCATATAAGAACCTTGCAATTTTATTTGAAGCAAGGGTTAAAACTTAAGAAAATTCATAGAGCAATTAAATTTGAACAAAAAGAAGTTTTAAAACCTTACATTGAGTTTAACACTGAGAAGAGGAAGAATGCTAGAAATGATTTTGAGAAAGATGTTTACAAATTGATGAACAATGCCATATTTGGAAAAACAATGGAGGATAAGCGAAAACATTTAGACTTTGAAGTTGTGAGTGATGAAACTAGATATATGAAGTGTGTAAGTAATCCTAACTTCAAACATAGTCATATCATTAATGAAAATTTGGTTGGAGTTGAAAAGCAAAAAACAAAGTTGAAACTAGACAAACCTATATTTATTGGGATGAGTATTTTAGATTTGAGTAAGCAACACATGTATAAATTTTATTATGACGTTATGAAGCCTAAATATGGAGATAATATTAAAATGGTATATACTGATACTGATAGTTTTGTATTTCATACTAAAACCAATGACATTTATGAAGACCTTAATACAATTAAAAAAGAATTAGATTTTTCAGATTATCCTAAGGAACATAAATGTTATGATGATAATAACAAGAAAGTATTAGGTAAATTTAAGGATGAATTAAAAAGTAAAATAATAACAGGGTTTATAGCTCTTCGTCCTAAATGCTATGCTTACTCAGTTTATGGTGATGATAAAAAATATAAGAAATGTAAGGGAATAGCAAAAGGCACAGTAAGACGACAAATGAAATATGAAGAGTTTGAGACGGTTTTAAAAACTAATGAGGTTATACATAAGTCATTTAATAGTATTAGAAGTAAAAACCACAGAATTTTTAGTATAACAACTAAAAAAATTGCTCTTAGTAGTTATGAAAACAAAAAATATTGGATAGATAGTGTAAACTCACTTGCTTACGGCCATTATAAAATAAATTCTTTGAAAACGACTTAAAGAAATATTGACTTAATATATTAAGAGGAAAAATGACACTGTTTAATTATAGTAAGTGTGAATGTTGTAATAATAAAAAGAATGATATTAATTTTACATTGTATAACTTATTACCTGCTAATCTGTGTAATAAAATAAGTGAATATGATGTATATTGTAATCAATGCTGTATAACAAGAGACCTTGAAAAGTTGTTTGTTGAAGAATATAAGGATAAGGGATATACAAAGTTTCAATTAAAATTGAAATTCTTTATGAAATATCAAAAACGATTTCCTGTATATTTTTGTCATAAAATTGATAGAGAGTCATTTGAAAAAGAACTTGATGAGTTTTTTAATAATAAAGATTTGATTAAAAGGTTTGGAGGAGAACTAAGCATTAAACCGTATAAATCATTTGCTAAAGAATTTCGTGATTTGTTTGAAGAGATTGATTGGCATTTATTAAGCAAAGATAAAATAAACAAGGTCTTGAATGAATTTAGAATAACTAAATATCATGTATGGTATTACTACAACACTAAATATAAAGTATGTCTATTGCTGTATTTATTCTTTTGGGAATATATTTATTCAATAATAGGAAAAGACAATATCAAATATATAGACATTGGTGATATTGATAAATATGTAGATTACATATTTGAAGACATATTGCCTGACTGTTATCTTAAATCCTTAATTCTTAATTGAAATATAATTATAACATGTAAAATATTATATGCTATAATTATACTATACTTATGGTTAGTTTCTTAATTTTCATTAATGCCTTAAAAATGACTTAAAGAAATATTGACTTAATATATTAAGATAGAAATGAACGGTGATAAAATCAATAATTATATCAATAAAAAATGCTATGATTGTTGTCACTTCAAAAAAGAAAATATGGAATTGTATAAATTAAATTTACCTAATGGAATAATAAATAATATTATTGATTATTCAATGGATGAAGAATATGTATGTGAAAATTGTAAAACCTGGAGAGATAACCAAGCTATAATCAAATGTTTGTTGAGATTAAAAGGAAGACATAATAGAAATGTAGAAGATGACATTTTGATATTTTTAACTGTGTATAAATTACCACCTTACGTTTATGTTAAACAGTTTCTTAAAATCAGTAAGAAAAAATATGAAATGATTTATGATATATTAAGGATGTTGTGTCATAGTCAAAAGAAAGGAGAAGATATTAAAGAATATATCAAATTTTATATTGAAATTTATAAAAAGTTTAATGTTAAAAATACATTGAGAGATATTAATATTATTTTTAAAATGATGTATGAAATAAATGAGATTTGTCAATTAAATTATTATCCTGTACTGAAATTATAATAATACTATGATTATCACATGTAAAATATTATATGTTATAATTGTAATATATTTATCGTTTGTAAAGATTGAATTATTATATTTTCTTAGTTTTCTTGTGTGCTTTGACTGTTTGGTTTTGTGGAGCTATTAGGTGAAATGTGTTTTAGTCATATTTTTAAGTCTGAGTGAAAAATTCGTGAACAATGAATAAGGTAAAAAGAAAAAATGAAGAACAACTGGAGTTTCTGAGAATTGGAAAAAGACTTAAAACATAAAATGAATAAGGGTAAACAAATAGTAAAATGTAATAGGTTAAGTAGTGAAAAAATAATGGATAAGGTGTGTATCTTTTCTAGGAATTACTTAGAATGAATAAGGTTGTGATTTATTAACCTTATCTATTAGTTGATACTTGGTTTTTCAGTGTGGTTTTCACTGGTTGATAGAAAAAATACAGAAATGATTTTCAGTTCCTTCAAATCCCCTTTCTGTATTTTTTCCCCTCCCCCCTCATCCCCCCCCTCCCCTCAAATGGACCCATCCACCGGCCCCCAGACTCCAACACCCAACCCCCGAACTGGTCGACCGCAACCCTCGACCCTCCCAGTCCGGCATGGTGATGCCCAGGAGGCCACAAAGATTCAGCGCCCCCACCCCGTCCAGCACCGCCATCACCTGCTGCAGCCTCGCATGGAAAACCCAAAGCAAAAGGGCTTGAAGGATGAATGGGTCGATGATGTTGAGAGGTTTGCTTGCTACTGTCCGGTGTTTGTTTTGCTCTTTAACTGTTGATGCTGGGTCGATTGGTATTCAAATGAGCTTGCAACATTTGTTTTATAGGTGTATATGTAGGAACGGGAGATGTCCAAAGCCGGAGGAACAAAAAGGCGGTGTCTCTGCCGGTCGGATTGTCGGATTGTCGCAGGAGAAACATGGTCAGACCCCCTGCCTGCAAAAACGGAAGAATGCCCCTGTACCCGCTTTTTACTGCATGGCGGAACGGCTGGTTTTCAGTCCTCAAGAGTCAAGAAACAAAATGATGCCCACCTACCTGGCCACAATTTAACAACGCCGCCATGAAGCATGTGCCTCCATTTGCGGATGCGTCCTCTGGAAAAAATTAAATTAAAAAAATGTCCAGTAGTGATAGATTCCCTTTAAAACCAACAGGGGAAGATCAACAAAAAATATATTAACCAAATGGAAGTGAAGCAATACCCGGCCTCCACTCCTGCTTCTCATCTTCGCCAGAGCTCAAAACCAGGAAATTGTTCCTGTGGTCCACCTTCAAGGTCTGCCTCAGCGAACGGAGTCGAAAAGCTCTCACCTTCCCAAGTGAACCCTACCCCTAATTGGTGGATTGGAGCCCGGTGGTTTGGTGGTAAGGGGAGGCTTCCCATTAACCCTCTACAAAGGCCAGAGGTTCAAAGGCCCCCGAACCAAACCGCCCTTTTGGGGCTACCTGACAACTGCCGGTGTTGAAAGGCTTGCCCTCCGTGGGCGTTCAAAGAAGTCAAAAGGAAGCCGACCACTTGGAAGTTTATAAGGGCTCCTAATCTTGACACGTCCCAAATTCATATGCCAAAGTGAACTGAACGATGTTTGAACGGTGAGTGCCGGACACACGTCCATAGTCTCATCTGCATCTTCCTCCATCCGAGTTGCAAAGTGAAGCAAAACCAAAGTCTATGCTACAGGCGACTGACGTACATTGCCTACCCTGCTCTTGCTTACAAACAACATGTCTGATGGCTCCGGCAATGAGCGAAGCTGGCACCCTGTCTGCAGCAGCTAGCGCTAAACACAAAACTCAAAAAACACAAATGCCAGCGCTTGCAACTCTTGCTGCACCGCAGATCTGGCCCAAGCTGCTCAAGGCCGTTGCCCGCATCCTACCACCAGCTCTCTTAGGAAAGAAAAAAAAAAAAGCACATCTCAGCCACTTGCGCCGCCAGTTGCGCTCGTGTTCGAACCCTGGCAAGTTGCACGCGGCATGCTCAGAGGCATCCGCTGGGCCCCTCCGATCCCTCGCCCAAAGCCTAACGCGTGACTTGTAGGAAACCCAGCGCAAGCCAAGAAGCCCACGAGGCCCACCCAAAAGCCAAAGGCTAAAAGCGACAAAGCGACAAAGCGAAAAAGCGGAAAGAAAAGAGAGAGATAAAAATCCCCCCCCAAAAAAAAAGGAGCCAAAAAGCTAAAAAGCCTCAAACAATCCAGAGCTAAGGCAGCGGATGCCTGGGGATCCCACCTGCAAGGAGGGAATTGGTCTCCACTTCTCTCCCAAAAAGACTTGCCCCTCCAAGGGGCTCTGTCCAGACACCGTTCTTGGAGATCCAGACTTCGGCCTGCAACGCATCAAGAAACCGATCGGTACTCAAATGGTCGGCCCAGAGCCATGTACAGACTTAAGAAGGCGCATATCCGCAACTACTTATGGTTGGGACTGTCCCTCACCTTCACTTCCCCGGGTTTCGATTGTGACTCAGGTGATCGCAGAAGAGATGAGTTCGAATGCCGGACATGTTCAACGTGTGCCTTTGGGGATTTCTTGCATCTGTGTCTTGGCTCTGTGCGTGTGTGGCGTGTTTGTTATACATAATACGTCTGTGAGCGTGTCGAAACTCGGATTCTTCGGATTTCTGTCAAATGAGTCACAATCAAAACCTAGAATCAAAACGGCCTGCCCCAACCAACGTAAAGAGCTGCAAAGGCGAATCTCCGCACCGAATTCAACCGTTGGGACTGCCCCTCAACCGTCACTTACCCGGATCGGTTTTGATTATTGCTCAAACAACCCGGTATTAAAATGGTCTACCCAGAGCCATGTAAAGAATCAAGAAGGCGGCCGCAGCTAGTTACGGTTGGGATGTTCCCTTACTAACCTCCATCGTTTCCCGGGTTTTGTGCCTCAAATGGGTGTGGGTCAAAATTAAACTACCAGGAATGGGACCGCAGATTTTAGTCTTTGGTTCCATTTAGCGTTCTATTTCTGGGTTATCCCATTTCGCCTTCAGGTGAGAGGCTCGCCCTCCCCCCTCCCCTCCAAACCATCGCCTGGAGGCCCAGCTTCAACGGCGTTACCAGCTCCCGCGCCTTGGGCAAGCCCAAGGCCTCCTGCGAGGCGCGAGCGGATCTGCGGCTTTGCCTCAACCCTTGTGCCGTGTCCTGTTAAAAGCGGCGTAACATGTGCAGATTCAGCAACCCCTTCTTATTAAAGGCTACAAAGCACTGCTGAGCAGTGCATGGTTGATGCTTTCTTCCTGGATTTGAACCCCTTTTTTTCCCTGATCCCTCCCCCTTAGCACCCTATCACCTTTTGCCGTGGTCCTTTTCAAAGCAGCGTAACATGTTGACCCCAGATTCAGCAACGCCTTCTTATTAATAGGGGAGTGTTGGTTCATGAATATGGGAACCATATCAACCAACGCCCCTCCCCAATAAAATAAGAAGGGCGTGGATTCTATCATGGGGTCAATAATTCGCCAAGACTTGCGAGACTTGCTGAAAAGCATCCGAGCGGATGGTTATACTAAAACCATACGTGAAAGTCCCCCCAAAGAAACAAGTGCGGAAGATGTCTGCCTGCCTTCCTGGCTTGGGCATGGCTCAAAACGAAAAAAGGCTCGGGGCAAACCGCAGGTTTCAGTCTTCGTGTCCATTTGCCAAGGTGCCATCCTAGGTAGTTTTTTTTTGCGCCACTGCCTGCTGAATCCAACCCTTGCGCCTTGGCATTTGGCTTACCCACTAAAATAGGTTCTAAAATGGGTGGTGCACCTACCCCACAATGACACCATTCGTTTTGACCCACAGCCATTTGCCAAGGTGCCATGCTAGGTAGCTTTTTTTGCGCCACAGCCTTCTGAAAAACGAGGATTCAACCAAAAGCGCCTTGGCATTTGGCCATGGGTCAAAATCCAAATCGTGCCCCCAAGTGAACATCCCAATCCCCACTAAGATAGGTCCTAAAATGGGACCCCAAAAATGGGATCCCATGGGTTTTGACCCCCAAAATGCCATGCTGAAAACATGCCTTGGCTTCTGAAAAACATGCCTTGGCTACCAAAACATGCCTTCTCGTAGTGAGGATTCAACCAAAAGCGCCGAGGCATCTCTCAACATCCCCCGCCTCTGCTTCCCTCAGCGACAGGTGCGCAGGCGGCGGGGGCTGCTTCACGTGCAGCAGCTGCCTCGGAGCCGTCCACTCGATTCGGCGGAGTGGGATTCAGAGGCCTGCTCGCCTTCCGATCCAGATGGGCCGAACAAAGTACCCCCTACTCGAAATACCCTTTTTTTTCAGTTAGTATTTTTGGAAAACCGATCGGTTTTCCATGGCAAATACCTCCTTTTTTAGTAGAGGGGACATGATACAAATGCAGAGAGGTCATGGCATTAAAGGATGTTGAGCCATTTCGAGTGCTTCTGTTTTTCCTCCACACGTCTTCAAATTGTTTGGTACTGTATCTGTGCACCTCGGCACAAGGAATGCCGCGCTGACTGTTGCTCTTACTCTGCGGCTCCAGCTACCGAAGCCACAGCAATCCTCACGAAGACTTGCTGACATCTTGTCTTCTTTCACCCAGGCCCCGCCCTTCTGGCACGTCCATCTTGGATGCCTGGAACGGCTCGACAAAAACGGAGTTGATTGCTCCTTGAGGTCGCCCACCTTTGCCAAGACTCCTTTGACTTGAAATGTGCTGTCGAGGATCTCGAACTTCTCACCGTCCTTGCGAAGTCCTCTCACCCAAACAAAAGGTGTCGACGTTGCTACCTGCACCCATACTGTCGAGCCGCCTCAGCTCCTGTGGCAATCTTCCGCCTCATCAACGCCCCTGATGCTACGAGTGCGTCCCCATGCTTGCAACCCCAAATGTCTTCGGGAAGGTCGAAGGCTTTTGCCCTCTTTGGAACAAGGCCGCCCCCACAGACTCCTCTGCAATCAGATTCGCGGCATCCGTCTACATCATAGACGGGAGACCGGCCCTGCCTCACCGTGCTTTGCATCAGGGTCAGTAGCGCAGCTGTGCAAGCCAGGACAATCTATCAAAACAGAAGGGTCAAAGTCTCCCCAACTTCGTGCAATTTCTTCACACCTTGGAACTCCTCTGTTCCACAGATTCATGCCACAACTGGGAACTCGAGAAAGATAACCCATCTCTGAACTGATGAGCAAAGCGCTCGCAATACCTCTCCTTTGTGAGCATCACGCAGTATTGCAATACTCTTCGTGCAGCATGAACAGACTGAGAGTCACAACGCTAAGTTTGCCTCATCGACGAGTACGCACGTTGTGTTGCCTTTCAAGCCAAAGGCAGTGGTTATCATGTCTGACAGAGTCTGCTACCTCTCAATCACAGCTGCAATGCTTGAAGATGCTCCGCATTGCTTGGTTGCTGTTGACCCCCCTGCAAAAAGTTCAACTTTTCGGGGGGGTTAGTGGAAAAGCCCTTGTTTTCAACCAAAAAGTTGAAGTCTAAAGATCCGTTGCCAAATAGCGGTCAAGATTGGTGCCTACAACGTTAGCACCTGCATCGCTGGCAAGGCTTATCTTCTGGAGACTCTCAGCCTCAGAGGCTTTGCCTTCGAGCCTTTCCAACATGGCCGTCAGCTCAGGTTCGAGCAGTCTGACAAGTCACTGGAAAAAAGTACGCTCCTTTTCAGACCAGGCAATTGCGATAAGCATTGATAAGCTTCTTCATCTTCTATTGCCTCATTTCCCACTTCGCAAGCTGTCTGATTCCAAATCAGCGTTTGGCCAAGATTCTCCCGCCGGGTATGAGAGTGAACTCTGGCGAGAGCATGGCATCTCTCAATGCCTTCACAAAATTGCCCCCATCGACAACTTCCTTGCTCTTGATAAAACCATCTTGGAGCGGTGCTATATGGGTAAGATACTCCGAAACAAACCCAGGCCTGCTCTTCTCGCAGCCTCACACGCTCATACGGAGCACGTAGAGTCGGTCTTTCTTTTTCTTCTTTTGTGGTTCAACGATTGGATGAAGCACATGACCGGCCTGGCATGACGAGCAGCCATGGCTTTCCGTGGAAACGTGCCATAGTCGGTGAAGACGCCAAAAACCATGGACAGGGCGTTGCCGCCTCTGGGATTTCTGGCGCCAAAAAGCGCCCAAGCTGGGCGAAGGCGCACGATTCCTTCAAGGCCTTTGACATGTCCCGACCTCCGAGTTTTGGAACCTCCGAATTCTTCCGGCGGATAGAGCCTGTGCTGTGCTTCCGAAGACCGGTCGCACCAGCACATGCCCAACTCAGAATCGTCACGTGTGCGAGGTGAAAAGCACTCTGCGGGTCGGAAGCACAACCAACAAGACCCCCCCTGGTCCTGATTGGGACACGTGTTGAACCAAAAAAAAAACGATTGGGACCCGTGGCTTTCCAACTTTGACCATCCAAAGAAACGCCCAAACTGGTCCAGCAATTGAGGCCAGGAGGCAGAGGCCGGGCAGCTTCCGAGTTCTCATCCTCGATGCCGTCCGTCTCCTAGGCCCGAAGAAGGAAAGATCGGCGCTGTGACGCAAACAAAGGTTTGCAGCCCCCAAAACGCGCGGTTTTTTAAGCATCAAACAGCTGGGTGACGTGCAGCCCCCCAAAAAAACATATTTGTTTGGTGCTAAGCATCAAACAGCTGGCTGAACGCACGCGGGTTTTTGGTGCTCAGCATTAAAACAGCTGGCTGAACGCACATGGAGTTGCGTGCTTCGGGGCATCTGCTTGTGAAGCCAAAGCTTCAAGCATCACTCAGTGAATTTAAAAAAGGCAGGCAGACCCCTGCAGCCGCCTGGGCCAAGGCAAAACAAACCACGTGAGCCAGAAATCGGTTGCACAAATGATGAGTTTCATCTTAGAGCCATCCATAAACTTCTCAACGGATTGCTTTTCAGCCCCAAAAGGACTAAGGCGCAGTGATGTGGACCGCATACTCGGTGTTCCAGCTGCTGCCATCCCACACGATCCAGCCGCGCGCGTGCGTGGGGCAGTCCACATCATCCTAGACAGAAGCAGTCTCTCAGTTTTGGCATCTTTTTCAGGATGTCTGAGATTGAAACATTCAAAGTCCTTTGGAATCAGAAGTTGTTGGATTTCCTTTAGTTCTTCATCAGTGGGAGGTGGGGCATATATACACTCGGGAGGAGTCCGTGAGAATGTTGAGCTCCCTCGGTCACCCGTGGCCATGACTCAGAAGAAAACTCGAAGGTGGTGGTGAGCTAGAAACGCGCTTTGCGCGGCCAGCGGCATCTAATCAGTCAACATCTGGATGCAGCTCCAACTTGTTAAGTTCGGCAACATGAGGGGAAGACATACGCCCGAATAGGGCCCGAGCATTCATTCAGCAAATTTACCCGCAAGTGCTAAGTCCGACGTGTGCAAACACGACCAACAAGCCCCTGGCAGTGTCTGCGCCACATTGATATGGGTCGAAATTAAGCCACCAATATTCGAACCGGGGTTACCCTCCCAATTGACATGGAACCTCACGTAAAGGGAATTGGTCCTGGTTGGGACTGTTTTCCTCTTTTGGTTGGACCTTCGAACGGCTCCACATGACAAGAGTGGGAGGGTTGATGGAGCATGACACCCATCTAAACCAGTGGAACCCATCTATTTTACACCAGCGCCACCTGTTTTTTTTTCGACAACCACACGCCACGCGAATATTTTGAAACAAATACAAGGGAACCAGGACCCTAGTAAATGGATGCCCTGGTAAATGGAAATAAGGACTGACACCTGCGGTCCGATTCCTGGTGGTTCAATTTTCACCCATACCCAAGCCGAATCCATGCCTTGGCATAGGCCCGGCCCATCCAGACATCGGTGTCGTGCACGTCGGCGTCACTCAGCAGCCATAGGCCCCAGGCAGCCCGGTAGTAGAGCCTCGGATTTGCTAGCTTTGGGGCGCCGTTTCTTTTTGGGGGGTGGTACCCCTTCTTGGGTGTGTTTTAAAGGGATTTGTTTGGCGGTACCCCTTCTTGGGTGTGTTTTAAAGGGATTTGTTTGGCGGTACCCCTTCTTGGGCGTGTTTTAAAGGGATTTGTTTGGCGGTACCCCCCTTCTTAGGTGTGGTTTAAAGGGAAACCAGAACTAAAAGGCCATGTTGGGGGGGTCATTAAAAAATGAGACACCCATTTTGGAATGCCTTGTTCAGGACCACATCGGTCCAGTGTGGGAATCTCCTTCGGTTTCACTCCAAGAGGGTGCAATGAAAAGATTAGATGCTTGCATGTGCAATGGCCAGGTGATAGGTGAGCTGTCACTCCAAACACGACAGGCATCCTGGCAGCTCGCCATGGTGCATCAGTGACGCGCACAGAGAAACCTTCACAAATAAACGGGCATCCATCCCGCTTATGACTACACTTTCTCACAGCTCAAAAGAATTCTCGGCCAGGCAGCTGTTTGCCGTTCACATTCTGGTAGATTTGTCGGTACCTCGGCTTTCTTGGAAAACCTCCATGGAAGGTTTTGGCGGCTGAAATCTCTGCTCTCTCGGGGCAAATCCAAACTCTTTGCGCAGCTTGCACCTGCCTCTCCTTTAAGTCCTCCCACAACGTCCCTCCCGTCGAATCGGATCAGTTCCACTGGCACTCACTGAACGAAGGAAACGCTGAGGCTGGGATGGAAAGAAACCTGCAAGGAGGAGCTGCGACCAAGGATTGTGGGCAAAAGTCGGGCGCCTTTTGATTCCTCCGGTTTGCCAGCATGCCTAGTGTAGCACGGCATCGGCAAAATCACACAGTGCAACACCCTAGGTCCAGCGCCAGCTTGGCTCGGAAAGATGGTGGTATTTTGAGAAAGATCTTGTCATTGATGGAAATCATAGAACGTCTTTAAAGAGAAGGGCCCACACACACACACCAAAACATGTCAATGTGGTGTCTGCGGCTAGTTTTCCACCGGCCCCAAAGCAACCGGGAACCGGACACTCGACCTCTCGCCCTCCCCCGTTTGCGCCGAGGCACGCTTGCAGCGCAGAGGGCTGAATTCCAGTCTTGTAGAAGGTGCCTAAAGCGGCCGGCGCTTTCTACCGGAAGCACCCGCTCTATTCTTGCCGGTGCGATAGGCAGGGAATGAGAAATGGAATGACCCCGAGATAAACCATCCAATTCGTGGTTGCCTTTAAGGGAATCCCAAAACGGATCATTCCCAACACCCGGTCTCTGTCATTCCTTGCTGAGCACCAGCAAGTAAGTTCAGAAGAGGTCCTATTTTCCGGGCTTGCTCCCACCGTGATTGGTGACTCAAGCACGCTTCAGGCTGAAGTTCCCATAGGGCAATTGTGAGCGGAGGAAAGCCCAACCCTTTGCGGATGCTCCAACATCAGGTGCTGGCCACACTGAACCGTCCTTCGTCCTGTCCCAAGAAATCAGAAGTATCCCTGACCACGGGCCGAAGATGTCCATTTCCTTTGGCCCCAGGGGGTGATAAACTCATCAAAAAACAGCTGGAGCAGGCACCATCCCCTATGCGGATAGTTTTGTACATCGAGTACTGTAAATATTATAACTATGAAACATCAAATGACGTATCCTTGCAGCAACACTGTACCAACAAGCCCTCTAAGCTGTGGACAAATTGCAACCCCAGCACTTGGCACGTGCGCCTTGCTTATATGACTGACAAGATCGCACCGTACCTGCGAACATGGTGCACGGTGCGGTCATGCACCTGATTGAATTTGCCTGGAGGCAACTAGAAGTAAGGCAACCGTGAATGATCAGCGGGCGGTTTGTGACAAAAGGTGGAGTACACTGGATTTGCCCTCTCAGCCAATTGAATCCAAGCACCCATGTACGGCAACAAGACCGCTTCAGCGCCGGTGACAAAGAGGTAGTCTGGCGCTGCATGATCCTCGGAGCATCCCATTGAACCAACTCGTCAGTTTGGCAAGCTCCTGCTTCGGCTCATCTCAACGCAGGTGATTCTCCCAGGAATTTGCAACATGGAGCCCCGTGTTTTGTGAGAGATGGGTTCAGCTGGTTTGCGCAACGCCTTTCGCTTTCAGATTGGCAGGTCAGACCGCGAAACCGGGCCGTCAGACCGCACGACATGTGGCGATTGGTGCCGACGGTGCCTGTATCAAGGATGCCGGAAACAATGCTGATCGACAGGATTGCACCATGTCTTGCCCAACAGTTGCATCTACGCAAGCGCCATTTCGCCAGATTTCTCGCCTCAAAGTCTACACCAAGAACACCAGAGACTTCGTGATCCGCCGAAAATTCCTTGTCCGGCTATTAAAAAAGAATACATATCCATCTGTAGGAAGCAAGCAAACAAGCCAAACCGAACCAAACCAAACCAAAACAAGCAAAACCAAACCAGAACCAAACCAAACCAAACTTGAAGCCCCCAGAGCCAAAGAAAAAATCCACGCCTCGGTTTCCCCCAATTTCCCCGCCCTCCCGGGTTTCCGGAACCCGCCTGGTTCGGCACCCCCATGACGCTCACCTCCCGCAGCAGCACGTCGGAGGACCAGATCTGCTCCTGGCCGCTTCGAGTTTTGGGGAGAGCCCCACGCGGTTCTGGGCTCCAGGAAGAAAGAAACCCTTGTGTGGGGGAGGGGTGGGGGAAGGGGGGGGAGGAGAGAAATCCTGGTGTTTCGAAGGGGAGAAACCCTTCCACAGGGGGGTGTTCCCATCCAAGAATGATGAACCCCCATCATTCCAGGGGCACCCCCCGGTTTTTGCTTTTGACCTTTTTTTGGGGGAGGGCGGAGGGAGGAGGGGGGAGGGGGGGGGAGAGCCACGGGAGAAACAAGCTGGGGAGGTCAACATTTTTCGGACACCTGCAGAAATTGGAGCAAGGCCTTCTTTCTGACGCACGAATTCGGCGAATTCAAGTCCTCCCCATCGCGGAAAGGTCTGATGGAGTTGTCAGCGGGCCTCAACATGTCTGCAGCAGAAGAACCCCCGAAATCCTGGCATCTTGCATTTGCTTGGAGAGCATCTCTAGCTGCCCCAAGTGCCAAGCTTGGGTTGGATTGTCCTGTCTGCATGAATCTGCAGCTTGTTTCTGAGGGATCCTGGGTTTCAGGAGCCTTCACAGCTTTTATTAGGTCGCTTCATCCATCACACGGCACGCATAGCTCGTGGTGGTAAATTTCCGGAAGACAAGGCTTGGGGATGCGGAAGCTAAGTAACATACTGCTGTGCTGCTAGTCGCATGCTTGCGTATGTTTATGCCGTGTTTCACTTTGTGTGTGTGTGTGTGTGTGTGTGTGTGTGTGTGTGTGTGTGTGTGTGTGTGTGTGTGTGTGTGTGTGTGTGTGTGTGTGTGTGTGTGTGTGTGTGTGTGTGTGTGTGTGTGTGTGTGTGTGTGTGTGTGTGTGTGTGTGTGTGTGTGTGTGTGTGTGTGTGTGTGTGTGTGTGTGTGTGTGTGTGTGTGTGTGTGTGTGTGTGTGTGTGTGTGTGTGTGTGTGTGTGTGTGTGTGTGTGTGTGTGTGTGTGTGTGTGTGTGTGTGTGTGTGTGTGTGTGTGTGTGTGTGTGTGTGTGTGTGTGTGTGTGTGTGTGTGTGTGTGTGTGTGTGTGTGTGTGTGTGTGTGTGTGTGTGTGTGTGTGTGTGTGTGTGTGTGTGTGTGTGTGTGTGTGTGTGTGTGTGTGTGTGTGTGTGTGTGTGTGTGTGTGTGTGTGTGTGTGTGTGTGTGTGTGTGTGTGTGTGTGTGTGTGTGTGTGTGTGTGTGTGTGTGTGTGTGTGTGTGTGTGTGTGTGTGTGTGTGTGTGTGTGTGTGTGTGTGTGTGTGTGTGTGTGTGTGTGTGTGTGTGTGTGTGTGTGTGTGTGTGTGTGTGTGTGTGTGTGTGTGTGTGTGTGTGTGTGTGTGTGTGTGTGTGTGTGTGTGTGTGTGTGTGTGTGTGTGTGTGTGTGTGTGTGTGTGTGTGTGTGTGTGTGTGTGTGTGTGTGTGTGTGTGTGTGTGTGTGTGTGTGTGTGTGTGTGTGTGTGTGTGTGTGTGTGTGTGTGTGTGTGTGTGTGTGTGTGTGTGTGTGTGTGTGTGTGTGTGTGTGTGTGTGTGTGTGTGTGTGTGTGTGTGTGTGTGTGTGTGTGTGTGTGTGTGTGTGTGTGTGTGTGTGTGTGTGTGTGTGTGTGTGTGTGTGTGTGTGTGTGTGTGTGTGTGTGTGTGTGTGTGTGTGTGTGTGTGTGTGTGTGTGTGTGTGTGTGTGTGTGTGTGTGTGTGTGTGTGTGTGTGTGTGTGTGTGTGTGTGTGTGTGTGTGTGTGTGTGTGTGTGTGTGTGTGTGTGTGTGTGTGTGTGTGTGTGTGTGTGTGTGTGTGTGTGTGTGTGTGTGTGTGTGTGTGTGTGTGTGTGTGTGTGTGTGTGTGTGTGTGTGTGTGTGTGTGTGTGTGTGTGTGTGTGTGTGTGTGTGTGTGTGTGTGTGTGTGTGTGTGTGTGTGTGTGTGTGTGTGTGTGTGTGTGTGTGTGTGTGTGTGTGTGTGTGTGTGTGTGTGTGTGTGTGTGTTTGTGTGTGTGTGTGTGTGTGTGTGTGTGTGTGTGTGTGTGTGTGTGTGTGTGTGTGTGTGTGTGTGTGTGTGTGTGTGTGTGTGTGTGTGCGCGCGTGTCCAAGCTGTGCTTCCCTCGTAGTTCGTAGTTGTGCATGGACGGACGGACGGCAGGACGGCCGGATGGAAGAAGCCACCCAAGAACCATGGCCTTAACAGTGGGTCACAGGAACACCCACAGGCACGAAGCCTCAAGTCCCAGCCCCATTCCCCCCGACTGCGTAGCTCGCGTTGCTGAGGCACAGGCCGCAAGGTCTCGCGGCTGCAGCCTAATAGCTTGGACCTGGGAGCCGCAAGCCACAAGAAGCCAGAAGAAAGCACGAGGGATATGCCATGCTTGGTCTAACAAAGTCCAGGCTGGACCCCTGAAAAACGCAAGAACAAAACTCCCTGCGCCTCACTGAAGTGTGTAGGTGGGTGACTTGTCATATGCAGGGCATCAACAAGCGCGCGCCTTGATTTCAAGTGGAAATGGGGGGAGCCAAGCATCAACTGGGGTTGCCAATGTCAGGGAATGGACGGCTGAACAAAGTCTTTCATGCAAAGAGCTGACTTCATGGTCTGTATTGTGGGTGAGGGTGGTTCTTCTCAGACTGGTCGGCTCATCAGGACTGTTCCATTCAAAAAAAGTTCCCAATTGTCCAATAAACACCAAATCGTTGATAAGCTACCGGTATCTAGCTGCTGTGGCTTATGATGTGTGAAAACCATGTGTAGAGCAAAAAGAGTCCCAAGTTTGCCGCAGACTTTTGAGGCTCCGTCAAAAAGCCGCAACCAAACGCCTGCAAACCTCGCGCAAACTTCCCTCCCACTCCAAGGCCGGGGACTTGCACAGCCTGTCCCAGCTTGCAGTAGTGCAGGAGGCCTGGCGGCAAAACACCCAAAGCCGGCCTTAGACGAAAAACAAACTCCGCCACGAATCCAAATTCCCAGCACGTCTCTTCCTGCACTAGGCCTACAAATCCGGATTCCCAGAACATCTCTTCCTGCACTAGGCCTGCAACAAGCAACTATCCTGCCAATTAAAAAGGAACAAACAAAAGGACAAACAGTGTGTTTTTCGCCGAGGCAAGTCAACCGATCCAACGACACGAATCAACAAAAGATGGTCTTCTGGGCCCTCAGATTTTCCGCTAAAAGTTTTTTTTTACTTTTAGCGGGTGAGTTCTTGGAAACTACCAGACTAAACCAATGCATTAAAAAACACACACAAGACGCACAAAACCGCGAGGTTTGGCTCCGAGTCGTTTCACCAGAAATCATCACCGCCCTCCAGAAGCTTCTCGCCTGCCGCTTCTGCGCGCTCTGCAGCAGCTGCCGCGAGCGGGCGGACCGGACCTGGCGGGCTGGGACCTGTGGATGGTTGCGAAATCCGCTTCACCTGGAAACCATGGTTGAAACCATACCGTTTGCTGGTATTTACAGGGGAATCATCATTCCTAGGTTTCTTAGGTGGTGCAGGATTTCGTCCATCCACAGTATGAAGGTACTGTGTTTGGGGCTATGCGTGCTTCGGTGTCACTAGCCATGCCTGTCTGGAGATGTAGAACGGGTCGAGATTTAATTTGGGAATTGTTTTGCTTTATTTTGGGATTTTTTTTTGTTTTCCGTCCTGGCTACTAAAATGCTGTAATTTACAGCATTTTCTCGCGAAATGTACGTATTTTACGCTAGTCCGTCAACATCATCAGCATCGTTTTCAACATCCCCCGCATGTCCAGCCAACATCCCCAGCATCACCAGCAAATTGGCTTCCCGCATCTCATGGTAAAAGTGAGGATTCAAATATGGGCAAACTAATCCCTGTAAAACACCTAAAACGTGGCGGCAGCCCCCCCCATGATGATTGAAAAAGTGACGACGGCAGCCCCCCCCATGATGATTGAAAAAGTGACGACGGCAGCCCCCCCCATGATGATTGAAAAAGTCTAAAAAATTGCGGGGGGGTTGGGGGCGGCGGCAGCCCCCCCCATGATGATCGAAAAATTAAGGGCAAAGAATCTAAAAAGGATCGGTCGCATGATGATCGAAAAAGTGATGATTCAATTCGGGGCAAAAAGTCCAACAAATAGCGGGGGGGTTGGGGGGGGCGGCAGCCCCCCCCATGATGATTGAAGAAGTGATGATTCAAAAAGGGACAACAAATATTAAAAAAGCAGCCGGGGGTCATCAGTTCCTCTGCGGCAAGGCCTCATGGTACAAGTGAGGATTCAAACACGGGCAAACTAATCCCTGTAAAACACCTAAAACGTAGCGGGGGGGGGGGGGCAATTCCCTCCATGATGATTGAAAAAGTGATGATTCAATTGGGGCAAAAAGTCCAACAAATAGCGGGGGGGTTGGGGGGGGCGGCAGCCCCCCCCATGATGATTGAAGAAGTGATGATTCAAAAAGGGCCAACAAATATATTTAAAAAAAAGCAGCCGGGGGTCATCAGTTCCTCTGCGGCAAGGCCTCATGGTACAAGTGAGGATTCAAACACGGGCAAACTAATCCCTGTAAAACGGCAGCCACCCCCCCCCATGATGATCGAACAAATAGGGGCAAAGAATCTAAAAAGTAGCTGTCGCATGATGATAGAAAAAGTGATGATTCAATTAGGCGTGCATTTTAATCGAAAGGGGGTGGCGGGGGGCCCAGAGAGGAACTTGCGATGCTGGTGATGCAGGACAAGGCCAAAAACCAACTGGGAAAGCATCAGGATGCGAAAAGCCAAAGCCAGAAAGCCGCCAAAAGCCAAAAAGCCAAAAAGCCAAAAAGCGGAACTGGCAATGCAGAGGATGCGAACAGAGAGGAACTGTGAATGCAGATGATGCGAAATGAAAAGCCACAAAAGCCACAAAAACCCACGTAAAAGCCACAAAAGCCAAAAAGCCGAAAAGCCACCGACCCTGAAAAAAAAAAAAAACTAAAAAAGAACGAAAAAAAATCCTAAAAAAAATGGCCCTCCATGTAGAACTTCAAGGGACTGGGCAAACCAACTCCGGAGCTTGGCGCAGCTCACCCTTGTCCCTCCTCCTGGAACCTGAAGATGTCTCTCTCGTGTCAGCGGAAGTGAGGGCTCCAGTGGGCTCAGCCTTGGCCTTCCGATGCCCGAAGTCT